AAGGGCACATGTTATAGCGGCTTCGTGTGTGGGGAGATGAACAAGAGATGTAGAGCGACTCTATGTGTGGGGAGACGAACAAGAGATGTAGAGAGGCTCCGTGCACAGCGGCAACGAGATAGAGGCGCTGAGATAGAGAGAAAGGGCCACAAGGATTGTGGCTCCGAGGTTCACGTGTACGCATATATGATAGAGAGACAGGGCGATAGAGACGGTGGCTCCAGAGGTAACGTGCATGTGGAAACGAACAAGAGACGGGGGCTCTGTGGTGAGCTTGCAAGACGAGAGAGAGAGATGAGGCCACAAAGATGAGGGCTCTGGGGTGAGCGTACACACGAAGACGAGAGAGAGAGAGACGGGGCCACAGAGACGGCGACTCTAGGGCTTACGCGCACGCAGAGACAAGCAGGAGAGAGAAGGGATAAAAGATAGGGCTGCCGAGACTGCGGCTCCGGGCTGCTGCGCAGGGAAGAAGAGATTAGAGAGATAAAGAAGGAAAGGGTGGGGAAAGAGAAGTGAGAGTGGCCTTGGGGTGTGACCTAGCCTAGGTGCACTACCTTTGACCGCTTTGCTTGCACATGAGAGAGAGATAGAGAGGCTAACCATAGGTTAAGGTTGCATGGGCCATGGTTTGGACTAGGGTGTATGGCGTAGGCTAGGGTGTAAGCTAGAGATTATGGACTATGGTGTAGGCTAGGGGTAGTTTCTCTCTCTATCAAAGTTTTTTCTCTCCTCACCACTTTTTTTAAAGAGTGAGTAAGAAGCTGAATGACACGAGCTTAATACTTCAATTTCATTCACTAATGATCAAGCCCTTTTACAAATGACTTAGGTTTCCTTATATAGAGCAACCACTAAACAAGGGTGGAATGCTAAAAAAGTACCCAAATTGTAAAAAAATACAATCAAACGGAATTAAAGTAAAATCCCGTTTTTGGACATAATGATCAAAATACCCCTTAGATCTTTTGAGCAAATGACAAAACCATCTCTCTCTGAGGGGCCTCTGGCCATTGCTAGACTTTGGGAGTTTTTTCGGACACTTGCGGCGGTGATTCGGGCGATCGATAGTCATAGAATCAATGCTTGATCTATCGCATGACGCTCTTTAATCATCTTGAAACAGACTCTTAGTGAATGACCAAAAATCCGGTCAAGTCCATAAACTTCGACCACCAATCCGGTGCGATTCGTTATGTTCCGAGTCCTCATTATGATCATAAATTGAAGAGGACATTGTCACGATCATTTTGCACCAAATTTTGTCTAGTTTGGTTTCCGTTTGTGCATATCCCCAATTTGAGAAGTCACCAAAAAGTGTGATTCCGGCGACCAAAAAATCTTGTCATTTTTAACGTTGAAATTCACGCTATCTAGCCTTCAATTGAGTGCAAAAATTCTACCAAACTATACCCCTTCGCAATACGATCACAACAGACCTATATTTGTGACGATCCGACACCCGAATCTCAAGTTATGACTTCACGAAGTATGAGATGTCTTCTTTTAAAATTATGATTTTAATGTCTTTGGGCTCATCTTATCTCTAGAAATTATCTCGTCTTGGGCCATGTCATGACATGTGTCATATGTCAAAACGACCGGGTCATCATGACCTAGCTTGTGTTTGAATTTAAGCATGTTTTGACTCAAAACGAACGAGTTATGAGTATTAGAAATTATCCCAAGAGGTGGAACATAGTTTGAAACTAGTTCACCTAGGCTGCACCTCAATAGTGTAAAACCCACCCTTTTATGGTAAGTTGGGCCCAGAATGATCTTAGAAAGTTCGATAGAGCCCAAATTTGATCCCTGGATGTTTTTTAATGTTCTGGATCTAATGGCACTAGTCTGGTACTATTTTGAATCCCTGAAAGTAAGGCTATAGTTATAACGTCCATTTTCAACGTGATAAGAACTGGATTTGAGAACCGAGTTTCTTCCTGATCATATCAAAACTTATCGGAATGCGATGAAACTTTGTGAGCATTTTTTAGACATCCCAAACTACCATTTTTATTCCTTTTGAATCTGTTTCAGTACTTTTTCAGAAGTTGCCCAATTTTAGGCTTATTTTGTCTTGGGTATCGACATGACCAAGTTGTTACTGACTCTATCCTTATGTGACTTAGGGATACAAGTATGTAAAAAAAGATGTATAATAGGTGGTAAAGGTTTTGAATGCAAAGTTCGGAGTGGAAAAGTTTGATGGCAACCCTATTTTTCAACAAGAATGATGAAGAAATTTATTTGATAAAAGATGAAGAAGTTATAAATCTATTAAATGGATGTTGGCATGGTGAGAAGGTGATTTTGATATAAAGGTAGAGATTGTTGGATATGGTGATATCCAAAATCACCCACATAAGGAAATCTCATATATGTGGAATTGATATTGATATTGATAAGTTTCCTAAAGGAAATAAAAATCCAAAAAGATTAAGACTATTGGATATGTATTTTGGTTTTTAAGATATATGTAACATCTATAGGAAGTTTCTTATTAAGTGTGGATTCCTAACTTTATATATATGAGCTGAAAGAAGAAAGAAGATGGTGCCCTAGTTGGGTCACTATATGGAAAATGTGGCTTTCTCTAGAGAGAGAGGCAAGGGCCTCTTATGCATGAGAGGCAAGGCCTCCTTTCAGAGAGAAGAAACACTATGATGTGCCTCTTGTTGACTCAAGTAGATTGAGAGGCTGGATTCTTGTAGAGAAGCGGTTCCCATAGAGATTTTGGGTAGTTTCCCATTTTAGTTAGAGGGAAAGTCAATTTCTCATTGCTCTGGCGTCTCTATCTGGTGTTATCGGTTGATGGCTCGAAGTTAAGACAATGAAGAATGACATATGGTGTCTGTCGAGAGAGTAGCTTAAAAGGGTTTGCTCGACTGGGTTTTGTCAAGGGTTAGAGATGTAACTCTATGCCAAAATCTTTGATATAAGTTTCATTGGTATATTAGATTTAAGTTTTCATGCCTGTGAATGTAGCCTTTCTGGGGTGAACCACGTAAATCTGTGTTCTCTTTTTTTTTTTCTTGATTTATTTGCTTGTTGCGGGTTCTTTTTTCTCCTACTTTATTGCCAAATAAAGTAGAGCTTTCGTGCACAACAGTGCCTAGGCAGTCTGAGGTTGGAATCCTTGGACTGATGCTGAGCGGTCCGAGGTCCCCATCCTCAGACTGCTGTTTATCTCACAAAATAAGAAATAAAAAGAGGTCAAAGGATAGGGACCTCGGACCACCCTGGAACTGAGTTGTGCTCAGGCCAGAGAGCGGTTTGATGTTCCCAACCTTGGACTGCTGTTTTTTCTCAAAATAAGACATATAGCATGATCCGAGGATGGCGATCTTGGACTGTTGTTTTTCTTAAAAAATAAGAAAGAAAGAGCAGTTTGAGAATGGGAACCTCGGACCGCTCAGGAACCAAAGGGCGATCCGAGGATTCAAACCTCGGACAGCCTGGGCACTTCCCTTAGAGCTTGAGGCTGCCCTAATAACGAAAAAAAAAAAAAAGCGGTCCGAGGATGGTTTGCTCGGATCGATGGGCAATTTTGAAAAAAATAAAAAATACAAGTTGACCAATCTTCCTTGTAATTTCCGCCTATAACTAGAGTATTTCGTATTTTAGGTAATGTTTTGAGGTCCATACATAAATCACTCCAAAAAAAAATTCACCCCCAATTAAAAAAAGAAAAACAAATAGGGGCTCATGCCAAATGTCCAGTGTAAAAAAGAAATAGTTGAGGATACAAGTTCCATAAATAAACAAATAAAAAGATGCATGTTGGGTTACTGTATGAATTCTACGTGTATCATATGTAATACCCAATCCATTTTCTTACTAACATACCATCACATTCTGAATACCGAAATTGCCAAGGAAATCTACATATACTTTGCCATGATACACTCGGACAAATCAAATCAAATGTAGGGGTGTTACAAAACTTTCTAGAGAAATGGACCCCCCAAAAGTTGAATCTGATTTTGCAATTGATAATGACTAAATAGGCAAAGAGAAGGCACCATCAAGCCATAATCAAATCATTGTGACAGTTTATTGTGATATAAAACTTTCAAAAGACTTATTAAATGGATTGAGTGAATGTTTCATGGCAACTTATGCCCATCCATCAGACTTGATGTTGACAAATTCATGGAACCTGTGGAAAATTTTCGTTTCAATCCACATGATTTGTCTCCTTTTTGACAAATTTCCCCAAACCAATGAAACCCATGATATATCAAGAGACGAAAATTACCTTAAGCGCCACAAAGTTGGGAGAGAGAGAGAGAGAGATGTAACTTGATTATGAACTATATTTGTTTCTGGTTTTTGGTGAGCATTGGGTATGTCGATTTCTAATTCGAAGTACTTTTTATTAACCCAAAGAAATTGCCTTTTGCTTCAAATTAAGTGCCCTAACCACTTAGCTTTGTCCATATTAAATGTTCTCCACTGTGGCAAGAGAGTTATGATTTGAGTTACTTATAATCTTGCCCAGAAAATTAACATCAGATCATTCAAAATGGGAAATAAGATAACTATTGGGTACCTCTAGTTAAATCCTTTATATTACTGACATTTACTATTGGACTTCTCTAATCCAGCTGTTTTAATCCTCTTGTCGGACTAATTATTAGTAGGTACTATTGGATAGCTCTAATTAGCTCTAAAATCCTCTAGGGCACCGTGAGATTAGTATTAACAAAATATTGACAATGTTGTGCACCAAAACAAGTTTCTAGAAATAACAAAAATAGAAAAAATAGCCCCAAAAAAAAAAAAAAAGGGGAAAAGAAGAAAAATAATAATTTGGGGTGCCTCTAATCTTGTCTAGTTTCTAGTAAAATGGGCCCAGATTTGGTTAAAGGGATTTTGCACTATTGGGTACCTCTATTTGGCCCAGCATCTGCTAGAACTTGACCAGATTTAGCAAGAGACACTTGCATATAGCTACCACCGAATGGGCTTTTCAGTTGAGGGGTTGGAATTTGACGGGCACACTGCTCTCCTCATTATTGCGTCAGAGCAAAAAACTTAGATACAATAATCATGGCTAAAGGATAGAGCTTCTACCTCGATATTTATAGGATAATTCTGGTTCTTGCTGGGCTCCATGGATCAAACAAAAAGTTGGATGTGGACTTCAACGAAACCTAGCCCTAATCCTCATGACCCATCTCCTAGATTTAGAGAAACTCCTTGCTTTCCTGATGCTTTTTCTTGTGATATTTGGCCTCCAAGATCTTATTCTTGCAGCTTTTGCAAGAGAGAATTTAGGTCAGCTCAAGCTCTTGGTGGCCACATGAACATTCATAGAAGGGATAGGGCTAGACTGAGACAGAGCCAGTCTGACCTCCAAACTCAAAACCCTAACCCTAACCCTAACCCTAACCCTAACCCTAACCCAGATCCTAGCCCTGATGGGAGCCCCAAGTCTTTCTTTCTCTTCCCTTCTTCTGGTGCAGCACCCACTCTCTCTCTAACACAACAACCCCTTCATCACCACCTTTCACCCATTTATTCTTCACCTTTTTCTTGCTCTTCATCTTCACCATCTTCAACAACTGATGTTAAGGGCTCACATCCATCCATGAAATCAGCCTCTGATTCCTCCCACTTCAAAGAGAGCAGATTTGGGTTGTTAGGTAAAAGAGAGGAGGTAGAGGGGTCCAATGAAGAACGAGCGGTCATTCGAAGACGATTTATCGACACCACTTTGTTTATTGGGCTAAGAGGTGAAGATTCAATTGAGGATTTAGACCTCGAGCTTCGGCTTTAATCTGATTCCTCCATGGAAACGCAATTCATGATCCTGATTAGTCTTTCTCTCTATGTCCAATGCTTTATCTATCATAGAAACGAAAGAAATTTGAAGGTCCACTACTCTCTCTCATTATAGAAAGCTAAAGGAGCTTTGAAACTCCATTAATTTCTCTCTCATGCTGCTATTTTTGTGGCCTTCTCATTATAGAAAGCTAAAGGAGCTTTGAAACTCCATTAATTTCTCTCTCATGCTGCTGTTTTTTGTGGCCTTCTCCAAGTGAATGTGAGACTGCCATGATCTTCTTCAGCTGTAAAAAGGTAAGGGTTTTTGAAGAATTATTCCATGATGGAATATACTTATTGCATGTTAACCAACAAAAAGAGCAGGAAGGGCGTTTGCATGAGTATCAACTTTTGATTATTCCATTCACTGCATTGTGGCCCCTACTTTAATGACCAAAATATTCCAATAAAAAATTTTCCAATCAAATCTGATATGCCCAAAAGTAGCCTTTCCCACCTTTTTTTTACTTTTATTTTTTATTTTTTATTTTTAGCTTTATTTTATTTTGTTGGCTCATATACAAGCAGGGATTCAGAATCTTTGAACTATGGCAAGATGCCCAATCCTAAATTATTGAACCCCAAGGAGAACATGAAGACAATGTTACAACAAACCATGAAGATAAAAGAGTGCCTGAAGCTTCTGTGTGTTAGAGAGAGAGAGAGGGAGGGAGAGACAGAGATGCTCTAGGGTAGCCTAAAACTCATGTTCTTAGGCTTGGTTTGTGCAGGCTGTGTAGATTATTAGTCTTTGGGACTTGGGTCTCCCATTTCTCACGTAAAAATCACTGTTACTTCTATATAAGCAAAAACTCAACTCCTCCCTCTATTATTAACTTCTCAAGCCGTGCATTTCGATCTCTATTATTGTGACTTCTCAAGCATTTCATTCATTGTTTATATCACAAGCACAGGCTCCTAAACCCTTTGCAAAAACAGAAGGTATAACACGCACCAAACAATATATCATATGATACACCACAAGGCGAATCTATGAAGGACATTCCCCTTTCATACATGCATGGATGATGTGCAAGACCCTAGCATAACCCTTAACAAAATGGAAGGTGTATGCAAAGAGGAAAAATCATGTCATTACCATGAATAAAATACGGAATTATAGTATACATAAAATAGAAAACTATGGGAAAGTCCAAATTCTTGCATTTTTTTTTCTCTCTCCAAATTTTCCCTTTTGTTCGATGTTCCAAACATGACTGCTATTTTATTTTATTTTTATGATTTTAAAGTCTAGAGACGTGTCGGAGGTATGGATCCTTGACTGCTTGGGTTATGTGAAGATTGTAAAAGTGTCGGAGGTATGGATCCTTGACTGCTTGGGTTATGTGAAGATTGTAAAAGCCAAGTAATCGGAGGTGTAGAATCTTAGAGTAGTCCTTGTACTAAAGGTCCCTGGACATAGAATTTCAATCCAGGGATCAGTATGAGGTTCAAAACTAGGATTCCTTTATTTTTAATATTTTTTATAGGTGTGTCACAATAAGAAGATGGTACGTACCAAATTTAATATTTATACAATTTGTATAAAAAGAATTAAAAATAAAATACTTTGAGACGTCGGATATAAGATCAAACGGTAAGTGGCTCTCTTGATCAAAATTAGACGGCTGGATGGTAGGGAAAGCATAGATCCTCTATGATGTAGGGGAATATATAGAAATATGAATGGGTCAGTTAATATGAACGAGGCATCATGGTTGGTGGACGCAAACTCAAACAATGCAACGAAATGGGATCCTCTGATTTAAACTAGATAATTATTGAACGTTATTTATTGGATGGCATGGAGACAGTGGATCCAATTTTGTCATGCTATTGATGACTTCTAATGGGACATCTATCACATATTTAGAGAAATGCAATTGTTGATGCTCTCTCTCTCTCTCTCTCTCTCTCTGATATTGAAATTGGGCACCCATTAGTCTCAACAAGCATGCCCTTCCCATTTATATCTTCATAGATTAAATTTTTCTCTTAACGGAAAACATAAGTATCCCATTTAATGGCAGATAGGAAATAGGGCTGGCATTGGTTCAATAGATTCAGTCCTAAAAGACTAGGGCCTAGGCCACAAAATTCGGTCCTAAATGACAGGGTCAGGGCACGACATTGCTGCCTTGCTTTAGCCTATTTCAGATGTTTTTTTCCTTTTTTATTTAATTTTATTTGGCCTGGCCCAGCTTGCCCTGCCCTGGCTGGGACAGGATGGGTCCTATGAGAACAAGGGTCTGGCCCATTGCCAGATCCATTATGAAAAGAGGCATTGTTGTGATCATTGTTGTTGTTGTTATTATTGTTATTATTAGCATTCAGTCGATGAACAGTGATATTGAACATTTGTTGTTGAGGAACAATGAACTTTGTTAGAGACATGCACAATGCGTATATTTACATTATTTTTTGAAATATTATAAAACTTTTTAAAAGAATTATATTGTTAAAAGTGCCGTTTGTATAAGGCCGAGGCTCTAAACAATCAAAGTAAAGTGTACCTTCAAATAGTATCCAAAAATGTAGTTTCAATAGTGAAAATCTTTGTGATAGCTTTAAAATATATTTTCATATCTAATTATAAAATTTAAAGCTTGAAAGATAGTGTGTATCAAACGTATCTATGAAAACTTGAAAAATCTTGAAAATTAAAAGTTCAAAAATTTATTACAAGATGCACTATTTTCAAAACTTGAAATCTATGTTTTTTTCATGCCCATGCATCTTGAGGTTGAGATGATCAATTTGAGGATTTTTAAGTATCAAAATAACCTCAACTACTAAAAATTTAGAGGTGCACCCTAATTGATTGTTTAGAGCACACCATGATCCATGCACCGATCATGGTTGGGATACGTTTGGAATTATGGAAATATGTACACCATGATCCATGCACCGATCATGGTTGGGATACGTTTGGAATTATGGAAATATGTACACCATGATCCATGCACCGATCATGGTTGGGACACGTTTGGAGTTATGAAAATATGTAGGGGTAAGCCGTGCTTGGCTGACTTCAAACCTGAGAGGCAAGCGTTTTGCCAAAACCCTAAACCTAATAATGGGGTGAACTGCAACTGACAAAGATCAGTAACATTCATTCTGCAGTGGCAAATGCCAATTTCTCACTGCGCCGGTATCTTTCCAACAGCGAAATACCAAGAAAACATGAGAGAGAGAGAGAGAGGAGAGAAACTGAGTCAGATAAAGAGAGAGAGAAGCAGTCAGAAGAACAAGGAGAGTGAAAGTAATTCTAGAGAGAGAGAGGAACCCTAATGGTGACTGAAAGGTGACGAGGGCAATTGATTGCCATCTGAACACCTTCCTCAAATAAGCCCACCTTTTTGGAAACAACTTTTCATTGCCCCTTCTCACTCTCAACATTTCCTTAAATCAACTCTCTTTGGAGGCCATAACCCACTGTCCATTATATCCTACTCTCTCTTTCTCTACCTCTGCCATGCTCCACAAACCCTACTCATGCTCCACAAACCCTACTCTCTTACCTCTGCCATGCTCCACAAACCATTATACCCTCCTCTCTCCACCTTTTGCCATCCTCCACCTACTCATGTACGACTACTACTCGGCCAACAAACTCGGACTCGCTCGACTAACTTGGCGTGTTGTGTGAGTCCAATTACAGAGTTTGACATTTAAAATTCCACTACCCATTACAGAGTTTGACATTTAAAATTCCACTACCACTCGGCCAACCAACTCGGACTCTCTAGAGTAACTCGACCTGCCCTGCAGTGTGAGTCCAATTACAGAGTTTGACATCTAAAATACTTTGACCAGGTTTGGATGAAGTTTATAAAACTTGAAGTCATTTAAAATACTTCGACCAGTAGTATGAGGTTTGGATGAAGTTCATAAAATTTGAAAGATCTTTTTTTTCAATCAGGCCAAATAAAAAAAAATTTAATAAATTTTTTTTTCTTTATACTTTCCTTTCTCTTTAAGTTATATACCATGATAAAATTTTAAAGACACGTACCTGTACACCTGCGGAGGCGTCCGTATGCGAACTGCACCGCCAAATAGAAACCAACATTTTAGGGATAGCGTGCCGAACAAACAACCCCCTATACCGTACGAAACCTAGCTCTGGACTTTCTCGCACTTGAATTGATGCGGGCAAAGGAATAAGGAAGTCGAAAGTTCAACGGAAAAAGGCTTCCTTCTTTTGTTCCATACTGCACCTGACACATAGCCCGCTATGGGGTGTCACCCAAGGCATCTTCTATGTTCTCGAAATTCCCATTATACCCTTTAGTTTTCATACAAATATCTCATGGACCTGTTTTCTATGCGGCTTCTTAATAAATTTATTTTTAGGTGGATTTTAATATTTAATTTTTAAGAGAATGTAATTTTTAATATGGAGATCGTGAATATGAAAAAATAAGTGGATTTTAAAAGCTAGAAATAGTTAGTCTAGTAAGAAAATATTTGGACTGTTAGTTTCTATTGTTTTTAGAGGGAACACCTACTTGCATCCATCTTTAAGATGGATGCTTTACACTTTCTAGACCGTATATGTAGAAGTGTGGTCCAGCTTGCATGAAACGATTTTCCATATCTGATTCATTCTTACACGCCGGTAAAACTTTCAAAATTGGGTGCGCTTTGTATAGATCCGAGGCTCTAAACAATCAAAGTAAAGTGCACCTTCAAATAGTGTCAAGAAATGTGGTTTATATACTGGAAATATCTGTGATAGCCTTAAAATATATTTTCATTTTTTATTATAAAAAATTAAAGTTTAAAAAATAGTGTAGATCAAGCTGATTTATAAAAACTTAAAAATCTTGCAAATTTGCTGTAAAAAAATGTTTTACAAGATACACTATTTCCAAAACTTGAAATCCATTTGTTTCTCATGTCCATACATCTTGATGTTGAGATGATAAATTTGAAAATAGTTGGGCATCGAAACAACCTCTTCTAGTTAAAATTCTGAGGTGGGTTCTAATTTGATTGTATAGACCTTGGCTCTATACAAACCTTTTTCTTAAAATTTTGAAACATGCTTCTACCCTACACTTACTATAATTTTGGCAGCTAGTTAAGCCGTAATTTGTCTTTTCATGTTTCAAATTTTGGATCATTATGGCGGCTTGTGATCAGGAATTGTTAGATTGGTGATTTAGATCACGTCTAGGTTGGTGCAAATGGGTGATCTAGAAAAATATTAAAAATATATGTATAGGCACCCCATTTTGAAACTGACAAA